GGGCTGCTGCTGCTGCTGCAGAGACAGAAATGCACGTGGATGTGACAACCCATTACATTCATTCAGATCTTTGAACATTTATTTGGAAACACTTTTGATTTATTTTTACACATATAAGAATCACAGCTGCTGCCAAGAAGGTGCCTGTTCTGTTATTAGCATAGCTGGCAGCTTTACAGATGCCATTTGAGCTATAATGTAATGACCTAAAGCACATGGTGGTATCAGTCATAGTCAAGGTGAGTGGCAACAATCGTTTTTTTTTTTTTTTTTTTTAAAACCCTTTGAGGGACAGCGGTTACTACAGCGGACAGCTTATCAGGTTACAGGTTATTATTTGTGCGTGAAAGGGTAAAGTAATTAATTGCGGCGCGGCATCTGAGGTCAGTGGCTTACCAGAGGTGGCATGGAGATCTCTCGACTCTGCAGGGTGCTAACGGGTGTGTGTGTTGGGGGGAAGAAGCACAAGCAGAACAGAAGGAGTCGGGCAAACAGAAGAAGGGGAAAATGGAGCGCATGAAAGAGATGGATCAAGTGGGGGCATTTCAAGTGATTCTGATTAAACCCAATTAAACTTCAGATGTTCTAGCGGGCTTTTCCTGACTTGGTTGAACTTGGTAGGTTTGGCGCAAACAACACGCTTTCTCCATAATTGCCACAGGACATGAAACATGGGAAACTGCATGATTACCCAGAGGAGGATTTGCATATCTTTTAGAATGCCAAACATAATTTTTCTCAAAACTTGTACAAGCGCGCTGAAAAACTCTATCGCATTCTGACAGAATTAGCAAAACAATTTGAATTGACTGGCTGCTTACAGTAAATACATTTCTTTTCAAAAGGGAGTTTTCTCTGTTGAAAAATGGAGTTATTCACAATGTTTGAGCTTTCAGGAAGCAATTGGTTAACAGCGCCGCCGAATGTATTTATATTTAATTTAAAAAAAAAAAAAGAGAAGTGACAACGACGCATGTGAGAAAAGTGACAGACTGAGCAAGGGCTTCGATTTCACAAGCTTCAACGGCAGTCTTGACGACAGCACTCGCTGTGCCTGGCTTACTATGTATAAAATATCCCATGTTACGTAATGCGTAAACATCACCCACAGCTTACAGTCTCTCTGACCTATTTTTTTTTTCAGTCGCCGGGGAACAAGAAGCTAAAAACAACTGTTTTATTTTTCTCCGTCTCAAGGGCGACTCACCCAAAACCTTCTACGCCCTTTGCGCCCAAAATCAACAGTGAGTGTGAACTCTGGGTCAAATAAGAGACGAATAAAATCATTTGCACAAGGATGCCGATGACGGTGACTCAGAAAGAAACGGAGACAGACGTGTTTGGGGGGGGGGGGGGGGGC